CCCTTGCGGGGAAAACTACAAAAGGGACTTGGAGTTCACAGAGGGATTTTTTGGTAACCCTGGTTTCCCAGCCCATCGACTCCCACGCGGATGCATGGAGCGAGTCTTCTCAATGCATTGGTTAGACCCTGCCGCACTGAGAACGGAGAATATTATGGAACAGGTCTGCTCCAAGCCTCTAAAAGACGACCAAGACCTGGTAGAACACTTTTCTTTTCGCTCTAGGATTTCCCTTGGCTTTGGAATTATCCGCGGTTTCCCTGGAATTCTCCAGAATTCCACTTGGTTTCCTGATACACCCAAGGACCTTGGCCTTTGCCGATCGGGTCGACTGGGAGCAACCGGCAGCCCAGGCAAGCCAGGAGCCAACATCCGGCAAGTGGGCTCCGACACAGCGCAGGTGGGCCTCGTGGAAAAGGGACGGGTTTGTTACAGGTCCAAACGTCCAAACACGCGCGGATCCAATACACACAACTGGGATCCCTTTTGTCTTTGTTGCCATAGGCGGCCTTTTTGGTTTAGTTTGGCTAGGAATAGGCGGCGCTGGCTTAGATACATTTTAGTTCATTTACCATGGCCTTGTTGTCAAAAGGTCACCCATGTTTGTTGCGTTGGTAGTTTTGAGTTTCACTCAAATGTCAGCTCTATTCAGGCCATGTGTCTTGCCAAAATACTTTGTAACCAGGAGTGTTCCGTCTTGTTTTTACATTGATGGTTGCCCCTGCTTGCTTCAAATAGGGGGTTGCCTGGATCCACCGGGTAACTTGTCAAAGGGGGACCAACATGTGGCTGTTTTAAAAAATTCAAATGGGGTGTTGCCCATGAGTGTGCCACGTGTCCAGATGGGGAAGCTCAGAATACCGTGGTTTCCTTTTGGTCTGTCAAAACCACCTCAAACTACAATTCCACAAACGACACCTAGGTGGGAATTGGAAGAAACCCAAATTCAACAAGACTGACCCCCTATTCGGCTTTCATCTCTCAACAAGGGGTCCAAAGGGGGGTGAGGGTCACCATGGTTATGGGGATTCTTGACGTTGCCCTAAATGAACCTCTCTTCCAGGCTCAAACCAACCGCACACCCACCGAAAAATGCTTAAACCACGTTTTTGGTTGAATAATAGGACCCCACATGTAGATTTGGTTCAAAGCCGAAGGCTCGACTTGCTTTCCTCAGAAATCGATGCAACTGCCATGCCCCAGACACCATCCCACCCCGCGTGATGGACACTTGGGGTGTATGTTGCACCTCTTTCATTTAAGCTTTTTCTGTATTTTTTGCTGCAAGATATACTCTTGTTTGCAGAAGCACCCCCTCACAGAAAAGATCAATCAATTTGAGGGAGTCCCAAAAAAAGTGGTTTTCTTCGTTTCAAGCAGAAATCCATCTTGTGGGTCCCATGCTTCTTTTGGTGTGAACTGGTCCCACCGCAGCGCCCCACCCCCCCCCCCTTGTCGGGGCAACCGCCAGGGCGAGCGCCTGCTGACGAAGGGTTGCCGCCTCGGCGCCGCTGAGCTGGGGATCTTGGCGGCGCTGGGCATGCGCCGCGCCTGGGGCGGAACCCAGCGGGCGGAACCGAGCGAGCGCGATGGACCGGAAGCCGCTGCCACTGGAGACCTTGTTATGTCGGGTTCAGTTCTTTTTTTTAGTTTTTTTCTCGGTGTGTGTGTGTGTGTGGAGTTGTTTGGCTTCGGGATTGATTTCCCGTGTTCGTGTTTGTTTCTGTGTGCGTCCCTTCTGGGGGTTGTTTGGCTTCCCGTTTGGTTTTCCTTGTTTGGTTCCCGCCCACCAGGTTTCAAATTTTAGGCCCGCCAACTTCGCCGCCAAAAAAAAAAACAACAAAGCGGCGTGACCTCCTTTGGGTGTCTTGATTCAATTAATCACTGGCTCACCCAGAGAGGAACATGAAAACCACACATTTGGACCCGTGGAATTGACACATTTGGTTCCCAAACATAGGATTTGTGTGCAAAAATATGGTGGTTGTCTTCCGCTACCGCTTGACTATTAAAACAAAAGAACCACGCGCACGCACACACAACAGGTGAAAGAAGAGGTCCCCGAATTTGAGACATTCCACCACATGTGAAGTTCATTGGATCCCTTTTGGTCCATGACATGAATTGTGAGTCTCACTCGAGCTTCGCCGTTTGGCAATCTTTAGGAGAAAAGAGGGACCCTGCCCAATTACCGTGGAGAACTTGGTTTTTCCCACACATGACCTACAAACAAGGGGTTTTCCGGACCCCTTTTTATGGGGCGTTATACACTTTGAGATGTCTCTTGATTTGTCAGGGGTCAAAAGGCCCGTGTTGATCTCCGCTTCGCCACAGACATCTTTGCTTTAGTTGTCGAGTGCAGGATTCCCTTGGCTCGTCGCCAGTGCCAACCCCGGATGATTCCTCCCTCAGGCAAAGGATCCTCTTTCCATGGGCACCCCTAGTCAAGGGCTCACATCCTGGGTTTCCACGGGCACTGCCTCTACTGGGCCTGCCCCACAGACCCAAAGAACGACCCACCGCGAGGTGTCCAGGTGTACCAAGAGCCCAAAGTGGCAGTCCTCTCCACCGGGGACGAGCTGGTGGATGTGGATGGGGATGACTTAGACGAGACCCGAGGCCGGGAAGGTCCGAGGGCCCTTCGGCCGTTGAACCACACGCAGCTTAGCTTACTCATTCGCTGAGCTCTTGGAGACTGTATTTGTTGGGCCATTTTGGCAGTGGTACACGACAAGTTCGGACTTGTTCAGGCCAAACCACTCCGGAGGTGAGCTCACAAGCTCACTGAAAGGGCGTAAAACAAGTCCGTCCGGATCCCACGATGAAGGTCCTTTGCTTAGATGTTCGTAGTTTGCCCAGCTACATGCGCAAATGTGGTCAATTTATAGCAACCTACGAAGCTTTCTCTATTTCTAGCTTGGTGCATAAGTTACTGACGAATATGACTCACACAATCTCACCGAACAAGAAAGAATATCGGAGACTCGCGCTCCAAATTCCTTCACTAGAGGAGCTGTTTATGAGGCAAATGATAGAACAACTCGATGACTTGGGGCGGCGTGGGCACCCAGAGATTTGCCATGCGGATTGTTTACTTGCAGGTGCCTGAAGTGTCGATCCCTTTCAGTAAATGCAGAAGACATGTCTTGTTGAGTTGGTCAAAGCTGAGTGGTTTTCTCTCCCTTTTTGGATTCCGCCATCAGGTTGGCAATCTAGAATTGTTGGCAAACGTGACAAACATTTAAAACTTAAGTCAGTGCCTCTTTTCAGAGAATCCTTGTCGGAGTTGTTTCAATTGGGCAGCCAAAGGACACCACATGTTTACGGGGCTTACAATATATTTTTGCAAAAGTCGCTGCTCTCGGCGAGGAGACGAATCACTTCTATGAATCTTCCAAGAAGCTCCCACGAACCTTGGGGTGGGGAGATTGGCGGGGGCGCTATCCCTGGACAAGCCCAGGATACGCCAAACCCCGAAAAAGGCCTACTTAAGCAGTGTTAGGGACTCAAGCTGCGACCCCCCCCCCCCCGGAGCCGCTCGTCATATGCCAGGCCAGATCCGCGATTGCAATCGCCCGCTTTTATGCGCCATGGTCAAGGACGGGGGTCTCCCAAAGCCCAAGGTGAAGTTAGGCCATTCTCAGGTTCGGTTCCTACCTAGGTTCCTACCTGTTTATGTGGGGATTGCAGAAATGCCACTACAAACCGAACCAAGAACAGTAGGTGTTGGGCTTACGCGCGACTTTCAACTTCAGCCGGCGACCCTTTGTTGATTTGGTCGACTGGTTTGTTCTTTGCTTCTTTGTTTACTTGGTTGATAAACACGCGGTTTGGTTTAGTGATGTGTTGTCTCCGGTTCACAACCGGCCAAAAAGGGATTCCCAGAGCTTAACCGCTCGACTGCCTTGGAATTTGTGTCTCGACTTATTCCCAGCCATGATGCAACATGCAAGCGTTTTTTTGTCTAATCTGGATGGTCATATTGGCAGTGTGCTGGGGACCAGGGATTCAAGAGAAATTGAGGAGTTCTCCCCATTGCCAGACCAAAGCTTACCTTTTTGTGGTTTTGCCTTTTCTCCTTAATTTCCCTTTCAGCCACCAACACAAGACAATCTGTTGCACAGTGTACAAGTCTGGCCCAGTCACGATGGCAAAGGCTTCGTTTCGGCTTTGCCAATTTTGAGTGTGAATCCTGCGTGCTTCCAGGCTCGACATCGAGGCTGGCACTTGCGTTTAGGGTATACGGCAGAGGCCTTTGGGTGGCGGCCTGGTTCAACCCCCTTTAACCAGGCAACAGGAAGGGCACTCCGGTCCAACATCGGGACGACTTCGCTGGTGAATCCTGGACATGAGGTATTCATGTTCGAACATTGACGCGCACGCATAATGACAGAAAGGCTCATGCCATACCTCCGCATTCACACACACACACACATGTCCGAATACAATCGCGCTCAGTCACTTCCATTGGCACTCATTCACCACAAACAATCATACGCCACCTTAAACAGTGGCGTACCCCAAACAATCGTTCCCAGCCACTCCCTCTCATATTGAGTGACTTGCTGCAGACAGGATGATATCACAGTGTCCTTTCAGGTCATTTTGGTTAAAGGCAGACAGACTTTGGTTGAAACGAGTTTCTCATTGGAGCAGCGCGCAAACCCCCTGTTGGCCATTGGTAGCTTGTGTATAGCATGGCCTATAATCAACCGTTTTACATTATAACCATCTATCTTCGAACCAAATGCCAATGGGTGCTGGCCGCTCATTTCTTTCTTTCAAGCATGCCGTCCAACACAATGACGGCCCACCGTTAACGCAAGGAACCGGATTGGCCGAGCCTCCCTAGTTGAAACTGGCGGCCGTTTCTGTGGTTAAAGTTCGTGCTCCTGTGGGTCACGGTCGCTCCCATAGGAATCCATCTGTTTTACCCCGCGCAAAAGGGCTGATGGCCATCCTGAATTGATGCAACGAATCCCACATAGTCACATAGTCTAGGCCATCCTTAGTAATTGATCCCCAATGACGATCCTTCATAATTGATGACCGTCCTTAGTCCTTTGACCTCATATCTTGTCGAACAACCCAACTAAGGAGTTGATCGTCCCAAGTAATCCAAAGGGTCTTGTGACCAAATCGAATCGGCACAGGAGCTTGGCGCCACCCCACTGGACCTTGGCCTGGTGCTCCTTAGCATCAGTCAAGTTGCGTGAATCGATGGAGTGTCTTGAATTAGGAATCGTCGCCCCTCCCCAAAAGAAAAAACAATGAAAAGACGATAAAAAAAAGAGACAACATGTCGGTTTCTCTTTTGTTTTCCTTCACAAAAGCACCCAAAGACCGTGCCAACTCACAAACCAGCCCACAAAACACGTGACCTTTTTGCAACAGTGGGTGAAGACTGAAAAGGCCGGCCGCAGGAGGATTTTCACTTCCTGCGTCGGTTGCTTCCGTCACTTTTGGGTTTGGGCCATTTGCAGGGCAAAGAAGGAGTTTGGACTGTTTTTCTTTCTTTCACGAAACCAAATCTGGCAGTTTCGCGTGGTAGTGGCAAACAAGAAGTTTGGGAAGCCCACTCAGGAAGTGAGGGATGCATCCGAAACTCAAACAATGATTCCAACCCGTTTGCAAATCACGTATCTTAGGGGTCATGTCAAGCTGAACCAACCAAAAGCAAGGTGCCAAAGTTTTGATGCCTGACTGGACATATAGGTTGCATAGGCTGGTGGTTTTGACGCAGCCATGGAGCTGAATTGCTCTGGGTGCTTGACAAAAGTGACCATGGCTGTGAAAAACCAACGCCCCTCCGTGCCAGCTTTTTGCCTTTCTGGTTTTAAACCATTTCCCCTTTCAGCCAGAAAACCGCCCACATTCTGCACGGGGCCAGGATGCCAAAGGTTCGGATCCTTTGTCCGAACCGCAGGCATTGGAGGCGGACCTGTCGGGTTCTAAGTTAGGAGGGTATCACTTGGGATGCCCAACAGCTCTCTTCCGAAAGCCCCGGCCAGAGCACCTTGCCCAAAGCCATGTCCAGCTGCAAGCCGGCACTCAGTTCCCACCATGAAGCTGACCCTGGTAGGAACATGTGGTGTCAGGTTGCCACTTTCGGCGCCCTTGGGGGAGTCCCCTTTCAAAGTGTTCACAATCCATCTGCTTAGGAATATGATTGTTTTTCCTTGGTTTTACACGGAATCTATCTCTGCTCGACATATGTTTGCTCCATGGGACTGAAAATCCGCACACACAGTTAGTCAAGTTTTGAGTCACTGGCTCCGAGGAAAGACGACCTGGCGATCGTGCGCTCTGCGTTGTCGCATGCCTTCAACTCCGCCGGAGCCTCGGGTCGTAACGTGTGGAGTGCCTAGCGCTTGCAGATGAACAATGTTGTTTCTGTGACTTGGTTGGTCATTTTGCTTGCGTCAGGCTGAGTAAGACCAAATTAATCTACCCTCCCGTCACCTAACATTGCACCTGACTCAGGGGTGCTGGCTTGGACTATTTTCCTTTAAGATGGATCATTTCTTTGGGTTCTTTCTCAGTGGACAGGAGGGTATCACTTCATGTGAAGGAAGGCAGGGTGTTTATTGTTTGCACGAGCTGGTGAGGGATTCCGCAGAAGTTTCGCAAGAGCCGCTTAGGCAGATGTGGTGATTACTTCGGGAGGAGTGAGCAGAGGAAGCAAGGCACGGGGGAAGAGGGCTCCGCTCAGCGTGACAGACTTTGGCCCACATGTTTCGGATTCAATCCTTTCTTGATATGGTATGATATGGTATGTATTCCCATTTAACTACGTCCAACCTCCAATGCTTGCGCCTTCCCTTTCCTGTCCCTCCATATACACCAGCGTCGCATCGAGTCATGTTCCGGGACTGAGACCGATTTCGTCCATGGCCACCTGGTTGCGAGGAGGAAAGCGACGGCAACCGGTCGGTCTCATCTTAGAACCTGTTTCTTGCCGGAAGTGGGCCGTTAAAGAGCTGGGTGCCAAATTCGCTCATAACAGTCAGCTCTTATCTACCGGACCAGGAGGTCTGTAAGGACATGGTAGGGGTTGAAGCCCCTGGAAGGCTAACAACAACTCCCGCAGTTGCGACATGGGTCGGAACCGTACCCGAAAAGTATATGAATGCATGATATGAATGCAGAAGCTCCAGGGTTGCTCCACCAGAGTCTTCGGAAGCGAACTGATTGCTTCGGGGTGTGTTTGATTTCCTGTTTTGTTTTCCTTCGGGACGATCACATCTATCCTTGTGTGAGGGTCAGCAACATAGTGCGACGTGACAGTTATAATTCACGAGTCTGAGAATAGCTCTCGCGAAACCAGTATGTTCGATGTGAGGGGGCACTGTTTTTTCACCTTTCTCCTGGGGGACTTTCGGGTACAGCCCTGTCCAATACCCAATTTCTGAGAAGGCGTAAAGGCGAAATATATTTTTGAGATGCACTAGGGCCAATTCCCCAACACCTGGGATAATTGCCCTCAGTCCTTGTTTGGGGCCCCTAACAGGTATAGTCCCTTCACAAGGGGGAGCATCCACCTGACTTGAACACAGGACTACATCAAGGAGGTGCTTACAGAGCTCGGTGGCTCAGCTGGAATCATTGTATAGGAAAGTTGCAGCATAGCTTGGCGCAGCTATTGAGTGGCAGCCTTACTAACGACATATTTGGGTTTCGCAGTAATGCCAACAAACAGACAAAGGGTGCATGGTCATTCTTTCTTATTGAACCTAGCCAGAGCGCAGGTCTTGTTTACACGGCCCAATGAGCAGTTCAATGCTGCTCGTTAGTCAACTGGACTCAAAATCACTCCGCAAGATCCTGATGCTATTTTTGTGGTAGATTCCCTTGTAGTGACAATTATCAACCCGCAAAAGGAGTCCTTCCCTTCCGCCAGATGAATCAGTGGACAACTGGGATCGCCTCCAGTACAACCGGACGAACTGTAACAAGCTCTCCCGCGAGTGAGACACGGTAGAACGAGCTCACCCGTGGAGGTTTTGTGTGGGGCCCTTGCTTCGGTGGAAAGGCGAAGTGCACTTCGGCGAGATGTGCATGAAGCCCGGCAAGCCCAGCACCTTTGCCACTGTTGGACCCCGCCGCCGACTCTTCTTCGGTGCGGCGCTCAACACGGAGGTGAAAGACGACACTATGAACCACGTAACAGACGGGCCCCAAACGCTTGCCCGCCTGCCAAACATGGAAGGATTTGTTCAAGAGGACGGAATTTGCATAAACCCACGTTTGTTGGGAACCAAACCGGCGAAGGTTTCTGGGTGCATGATGCAATGTATATACTTGCCACTCATCAGCCGTCACATTTGTGTTTTGTTGGTTGCTTCCTGTTTGTTATTTGTCATTTGTTGATCGTTGTTCGTTGTTGTGTTTGCTATTCCCCTTCCCTTTTTGTTGCTTCGTGGTTGCTTCGTGGTTGTTTGCGGTCTTTCTGTCTTGGTTTGTTGGGGCATTTTCCCGTTTCTTGCGCTTTAAACAAAACACCAAACATATCCGTTCCCTCCGACTGTTTTTCTGAGGTTTGCCCGGGAACCCGGTGAGCTGCTTCGTGACCTTCAAGCTCCTGGCGGCGCCGGCCATTGAGAAGCTGCGGGGCCGGCCCTTGGGCGGCCCGGCTCGGTATGGGATTTGTAGACCCCCCAAACGGGTTCGTTTCCAGGGAAACCGGAAGGAAACACAAGAAAGGGGGTTCCCCAAGATGGGGTTCTCAAATTTAGTGTTCACCCAAAATGGCTGGTTTCCTTTTAGCTTACCTTGAAAACCAAAGCAGACCCAGATGTTTGGGTCCCCTAAAATGGTTGATGTCCCTTTTGGTTCCCTTTGAATACCAACAGAGGCCCACCATTTTGAGAAGCTCCTGGATGAGGTTTAGAAAAAGGTGTCAGGCAGTCTATAGGACACAGCCTTAGACGTGTAGGTGTTGGGAGTTTTAACGTATAGCACTAAAAGTTTAACTTCCAGCAAGGGGCCCACGAGACACTTGCTGGCATCTCTTTGAACTGGCTTTTCTTGAACTGGCTTTTTCCTGCTAAGTCCAGCAAATATGGACTCAACAGGGGGGAAAGCTGAGGTAGGCAAATTGATCATTCTGTTGATAATTTGATGTGATGTGTGTTTTGCAGCAGTACAGGTTGCTTGTAAACTGATGTAAACTGGGGTGTGGGGAAGCATGCTAAGTCAATTGACACCCGCAAATTCCGGCCCGGAAAGCACTTCCACCTACACATAGAATCCAATTGAATGGGAGGTGTTTTGCCTGGCTAGGGTGGGAGCCAAAGCTTCGTCTAGCTTCCTTTCTCGAGGACCAAGTTGCAGGACTTGATGCCTTTTTTGGAAAGACCAGCTTGGCTGTAGTCGAAAGTGTCGACTTGCGTTGGCCAATCCACTCAGGAAGTGCCCTGAATTGAGCATCATAATTCAAGTAAAAATTTGACATGTTTTTTGTAACAAAACAACATAGCGACATGTCAACCTAGCCGAAGGAAGGAAAGAAGAGCAATCGTGTTGAGAGCAATCTCCATTTTGGGGACCTCCTGTGCGGGTTCCGTGTTGATTTGCAGGGGGAGTCAGCAAATGACATGATAAATTGGCTTGGACTATGATGAAGGTTGCTTCATGAGGAACGGTTTGCTTTGCCCAGAGGAAAATGTTACGGCACGAAATCAAAGTATCTATACTTTTATTGGTAAGATCCAGTGGCACAGTGTACTGGTGAAGCAAGGGGACACAATACAACAGAATGTAAGAGTGACAAAGGGCCTGACTGCAATCATGGGACGTTTGGACCATATTTGCCCTGGTCAAGTCGCTCTGGACCGTTTCGCTTGGGATTAGTAGGTATGGTCGTTTGCCCCTTAGAGCCATGACAAGAATTCCCATTTTTGGGACAATGCTCATGACCCGACCCCCTCATTTGGGTTTCGACGACTGCAGAATGGTAGGCAAGCTGGTTTAGAAATCAGCAAATACTTACCCTCCTACC